CGGCTTGCGACTGCCCTCCGAGCCTCCCCCCCTGCCTCGGAGTTGGGGAGGAAAGTTGTCCTCTTTTTGGGCCCCTTCCCCTCCTCCCAACCTGGATTTTGGAGCCTGGAAGAAGATCCCGGGGCTGGGCAGGATGGGCAATGCAGCGGGCAGCATGGAGCAGTCTCCGGGCAAGGAGGCGAAGGCTCAAGCGCCAGGCTCGGGGCTGCCGGCCAAGCAGCCTGCGCCCCCAAAGCAGCCGATGCCCAGCGAGGGGGAGCTGGAGGAGAGATTCAGCCGCGTGCTGGTAAGTCGCTGCGCCCCCAGGCCCGGCTTGGCCCGGCCACTGGTTTTTAGTCACGCCGTCCCCCGCGCCTCAGGAAGCTGGAGGTGAGCAGCACGGCGGGCTGTGGGGAATGACAGCATCTATAATTAAACTGCAACGGCAGCCAGGGGTAGAAAGCCACTGAGAGTCTGCATCTGCAAGCCTCCCCCCCCCCACCTCCAGGCCTGCAAAGCCCCTCCAGGCCTGCCAGGAAACTTTGCTGTTGCCCCCGCTGCAGCTAGTGAGAGCGGGAATTCTGCAAGGGGAATTTTGGGCCGTCCGCTGCCCCGTTCTGGAGGCCAGGCAGGACTGGCGGGCGCAGGCCCTCCTCTAGCCGTGAGGGAAAACGGCCTTGTGTTTTGAAAGAAAAGCACTCATGACTTCCTTTCCCCTCTATGGGGCTGGTGGGTGACATTTCTGGGCCTCCTCCTCTCAAAGAAGAAATGTTTCATCCTCCAAAGTTGTTCTGGAGGTGGGAGCGTGAGAGAGCCAGAGATAAGGGCAAATTTGGGAGGGCTGTTCCACCACCATCACACGTACAGCCACCCACAAGCCAGCCTCGGGAGCTCTGCAGGCATCATAACTTTCTTTTATGCCTCTGTTACCTTAGCTGCCTGCCTACAGGGGCCTCTGCCTTGCAAAATGAAACAGAGCTTTCCGTCTGCTTCCAAAAGAAGAGCCTTTTTTAAGGGGTGACTTAAAACAGACAGGCACAGGGTGGGGAATCCCTATGGCAGGGCTTGTAAGTCTTAATGTGACCTGAGGCTTTCTCCTCCCTTGTGTAATTTGGTTGGATGCCTCCATCACTTGGGGCTTGGGGAGGGGCAGGTACTCAGGGGTTAAATTCTAACCCAGAGGTCTGGTGCCTGATCCATTCCTGGCACATCCTAGAATTGAGATATTTTGTAACCTATCATTTGCCCAGGTCACATGGTTGGTCTGTCTAGTCCACTCTCCTGCTTCTTGCAGTCACCAGCTCCTGAGGCTTCACTGCAAAGGTTTGGGGTGGTGGTGGGGGAAGTGTGCCTGCATTTTGTCAGTTGTAAAGTGTGCAGCCAGTGGTACGGTGCTGCCTCTAGGAGTGGGTTAAACCAGGCCTTCTTGACCATGGCAGGAAGCAGTTGGGGCACGGAAGTGGGAGAGCTCATTGCGTCTCATTCAGAGCTCGCCTCGTCTTTGCTATGGCCTATCTTTGCCTCCTTTAGCAGGGATTCCAAAAGTTTTGTATATGCTTTTATTAGGCAGTGCCTTTTCCCCTCTCTCCACAGACGGGCCAAAACAAGCAGAAACACTAAGTTTTCACAATCACTAATACACTTTGAAATCTCCAGGACCTCATCAGTTCCCCTGTAATGCTGCTTCCTTCCAGGCTGAGTAACAATAGGTTTGACATTTCTTGTTTTATAAAAATTCCCCATCTCTGCTACCTTCCTTTTTCAGTACTGGCTGTATCATGGGGTGAACTAATCAGACCATGGCCCAGAGCTGCCTGCTGGGATAAGCTCATTGTTTATGAGACAGTAATGATAATGTAGTGCAAATGGTATTTTTTTTACCTCTTATCCCACTCAGGAATCCCCTGTGTTTGCTTTACTTGCTGCTGCTGTGCCTGGCTCTGGTGCTGTATTACTCATGGGGAATCCTAAATCATCTCTTTGGGGATCTTCCCTGATCAGTCCTGCTCTTTGCCACCTCATGTTACCATGTTCTACTTCACTAACTTTTACTCTGGGTCGGGGTAACCCTTTCAAAGTGCATTAAGTGCATAAGTGATTTTCAATTAGACTCCAGCTCCTAAGTGCCTTTTGGAAAAGACCTTGGCATCCAAATGTCATTAGATGATTTTGAAAGTGCAACTGTTTGTCTTGGCTGCATCTGTTACACTTCTAGCAAGGCTTAGTCCTATTACGGTCTGTAGTCTTATGATATGGAGTCCATGAGCAGCATTTATTAGAGACTGCAGGGCCAGGTCCTTTAATATTTTCAGACTGCTCTTTTCAGTTCCTGATGTTCTGCCCAGTCCTTCAGCATGTTCAAATCCACTTGGAGTTTCTCACAGTCTCCTTCCCTTTTGTTTTTTAATGGATGGCTGGGGAATCCTGGGGTTGTCTGGGAATGCAGAGCACTGGGCTTGATGGCCAAGGGGGCCCCTTCCAGTCCTGTGATAATCATGTGTCTCAGTCACCAGGCTAGGAATGAGGCTAGCTGGGGTCAGTTCATACCTATGCTATATAGTTGCCGTGTGGCCTCAGGCAAGTCTGTTCCTCTGTGCTTCAGTTTCACTACTAGGTTATCCCCATGTTACCATCTTGAAGGGGGCGTGGGTGCCTTTGTTCAGTGATTGCAAACTTCTTTGAGAGACTCTGATTGAAAGTGCTTGAGAAGATGGGCAAAGTGGTGCTAATGGTGATATACTCTTGGTCCCCTCCCTCCCTTTGAGAAGCAGCTGTTCCCCAGGGCCTTTTGTTGCCAGTCATTTATCCAGGCCCTGAGGTATACCACTTTATTTGGTCACTATGTATTTCCATTAAAAAAAAAAGTGGTTTGTGGCTATAGGGTCATCCAGTCTGACTTTCTGCACAGCTTGGGTGAGAGAACTTGGTCCAGGAATGTCTACATTGGGGCCCAGAACTTCTGGTTGAGCTGGAGCATAGGAAGGCCCTGTTGAGAGGGGGTGAAGGGCCTGTTTTGATCCGATTTTTCATAAAGTCATAATCACTCACCTTGCATGCTCTCCCAAAGGCTGGGAGGAGGGGGAGGTCTAGTTCTGAAATTAAAAGGGAATAGGAGAACGTGGGCACATCTAGTATGCTGCTTCAGCTCCCTTCTCCCCTCCCCACAACATAGAGGGAACCAAGCCAAGGACCCAGAAAACACCTCCCACCCTCTCTCTCCAAAGGCTGGAAAAATCTGTGCTCTCACTAGCAAGGGAAGGGCACTCAGCACTCCATTTCTGCAGGTTTCCTTGTAGAACTATAAACCTTCCAGCTGTTACAGTCATGATGTAAAGTTCCCAAATGTGATGAGGAGAACAGATGCAGGCTGCTGTCCTGAGTCTGCAGAGTCCTCCAGTGTCCCTGCAGTGATTTGTTGCTTTGAGCAGCGTGAACCTGGCAAAACTCTGGTCACTTAGCACTGCTGCTCTTTAGCACCTGCTGGGCGGCCCTTAAACCCAAAAGGATCAGGTCTTGCTGCTCCCTGGGAAGGCTCTGACTAAGGCTGGAAAATGTATTTCCAAGCCTTGCTGTCTTGCACCAATTGCAGGTGGGAGTGATAAGCATCAGTTCTGAAATGTCTTACTTGCCTACAGCCAGAAGCTGCAATTTGTGACCCCTCCATCCCTTGGCATGAAAAGAGATGTTTTCTGCGGCAGTCTACTGTGTGTGAATCTTTCCCAGGGGACCTGTTAAATGAAGGTTATATGTGGGGGCCTTGAAGTTTTGCCCAGTTTATTTGGTCAAAACTTGCCCTGTGTCTGTGTATCTGTGGTGCTGTGGTTATAGGATGCATATGATTTTGGACATGGAAGGAACTGTATGAGAGTATGATTTTAAATGTGCTCTCAGTGTGTGATATATTGAATGGTGAAGAAGGTCAGCTGGCAACAGGTGTCTATCTGATGTAGGCAGGTGCCCATCTCCACATCTGTAAGATGGGGATTTTGAGGCTTACTGAATGCTTGTCAGGTGTGTTGAGACCCGAGGCTAAAACATGATTGAGAAGGACAAAGTGGCATTAGTATAAAAATATTGTCTTGTTCCTGTTCAAACCCACCCGGATCTTGAGAGCAGCCTCTGAGAGAAAGTTTACAGCAGCAAGTGGTTTTTTCCAGTAGTAGGAGAACTCCATGTGTTGTGAAACTTTCATGTCCCAATCTCTCTTCCTCCTTCCCTTCCTTTTGTCGGACTCCCCCATGTTCAGTAACTTATTGCATCAGAATTCACCTCCTGTTCATTGACTGTGTGCTTCAGCATTCAAAGACTGGCCTATCTCTAGCTCATGGTCCTCCTGAATATGCATTTGGACATTCTTAAGTCCCTCTAAAGAATTTCCTGTAACATCAGGTTTGTGAGTAAAATGTAGCCCTCACCACTAGAAGGTCAAGCATATTGGTTAGATCGCAGTTTATTTATGAGAGGGGTTGGTCTGTCTGTGTTGTACTGTGCGTGCAATTTATTTGCATACGATTATGTGATCTTATGGCAGTATCTGCTTCTGGTATCTGTGGCTGCCTGTTGCCCACATGGCCACTTCTGGCAACAAAAATGTTGGGGCTTTGCTGGGCTGCCTTCTTTAGAAAGCTTCACCTGCAATAGCCTAGCAGCTCTATATGAGTTCCCATGCACCGCATGTGCAAGGCATATAACCAGTCAAACCTAATGAATTAGTCTTTCACCTCCTGAGACTTTGCTTGCAACCAGTAGGAGGTCAGTAGTGTTTATGATTTGAATTCTTCCTATGGCATCAGATGTTGCTCAGGACATGAACCAGGCTCCACCATCTCTGTAGGTGCTGGGCTACTCCTCGCTCGTCCTCTGTGGGCTTCAGGCTCTTCTGCAGGCTGCACCTCCAGGCTTGTCTTTCCCAACAGCCTGGGCATTGTCAGTGGGAACTGTAACACCTGCCTGTGGCAGGCAAAAAGATAATGGTCCACCAGGTTGGCAAGGGAGCCTTGATTTGGAGGAAAAGAATCAAATTATGAGACTATATAAGGGGATGAGTTTACAGTAGCACAGGTCAGTCAGAAGAGGCCCAGACTCATACTAACAGGGGTCCTGGGGGTGCTGACAGGTGTAATGCACAGCCCAACCAGGAGGGACTGGGGACTGGACTAGCAGGTGTTGCTGCTGCAGGTCAAGACTGAGGGGCATTGGCAGAACAGTATGGGAAGCTAAGGCCTGGAGGAGCAGGCTCTCTGTGGGTTAGGATTGCGGTTGACTCTTAACTCTAGGCAGTGTTTTCAGTTTCTCATGGTTTAATAA